CATCATCACCATCATCATCATCATCACCATCATCATCATCATCACCATCATCATCATCATCACCATCATCATCACCATCATCATCATCATCATCATCATCACCATCATCATCATCACCATCATCATCATCATCATCATCATCACCATCATCATCATCATCACCATCATCATCATCATCACCATCATCATCACCATCACCACCATCATCATCATCATCATCACCATCATCATCACCATCACCATCATCATCATCATCACCATCATCATCATCACCATCATCATCATCATCATCATCACCATCATCACATCACCACCATCATCATCATCATCATCACCATCATCATCACCACCATCATCATCACCATCATCATCATCATCATCATCACCATCATCATCATCATCATCATCACCATCATCACCATCACCACCATCATCATCATAATCATCACCATCATCATCACCACCATCATCATCATCATCATCATCACCATCATCATCATCATCATCATCACCATCACCACCATCATCATCATAATCATCACCATCATCATCACCACCATCATCATCATCATCATCACCATCATCATCATCATCATCATCACCATCACCACCACCATCATCATCACCACCACCATCATCATCATCATCATCATCACCATCATCATCATCATCACATCACCATCATCATCATCACCATCATCATCATCATCATCATCACATCACCATCATCATCATCACCATCATCATCATCATCATCATCATCATCCTCTTCTTCATCACTATTACACCACTATCCTGACATCATCATCATCAGAAGCWGCAGCAGAATCACTTTGTCTTGTTGAAAATGATTTAATAAATTAAAATTCCTCTGAATTAAATTAGAAATTGAAAAGTTTAAAATGATTGGAAAATAATATTATTAAATCCAGGAACATTTTGAAGAACTTTAAAACAATCTGGTTTGTTGGAATAAATAAATTACATTAGCAAGTCCACCTCAGGTCCACACAGAGACCAGTGAAACAGCTTTCCTCCCTCCTGCAGACATATCTTAGAGTTACCAGTGAAACCAACATGTGTGTTTATGGATAGTGGGAGAAAACTGTACTGGTTGGAGAACATCCACACATGCACAGGGAGAACATGCAAACCTTACAAAAAAGGGCCACCAGGCAGACCTACGACCATTTGGATGTAAGGCAGCCTTGCTGACCAGTGTTCAGGCCTGCCACCCAGAACTGTCCGATCATGTAAAACCCAGAGTAGTACTGGTACCCAGTCAGACCTGGTTCATCATGGCACGGCTGGACGACAGAGTGTGAACTCGTCTGTAGCGCCCCCTGCTGTATTTGTCCTGGATGAACTTTGACCTCTCTTCATCTGTTGACTCTGGACACAGTTGCTCTGTTGCTGGCACAGCTGGAGCCCACACCTGATTGGCCAGCCGGTTACCATAGGTAACAAAGAGCTGAGAAGAGCAAAGAGCTGGAGGTTATAAAGCTGTAGGACCAGTTTAAGACATCCTCCACTGGTCTGTGAGGTCTGACATGTTGGGGACATGAATCTACATAAAACCTTTAATCACAGACATTTTCAACACATAAGACATTTTCTATGCTCGTTATAAATATGATGTATGTCCAGTTTAATTAAAATTATTGTGTCATTGCACAGAGTTTATTTACTGAAAGAGAAACAATCAGTCCACAGAAAAAAGTCAAAACTGAACAATGAATAAATTCAATGATGACATCAGATGATGGGCTCTRACCATGACAGTGAAGTCCACACTGAAAGGTAAAATCCTACAAAAACATAAATTATTTCTAAATTCTGTGTTAGTGAAACATTTTATAAAGTTTGTTCAGAGTGGTATGGTCAGTTTATACAGAGTGGTATGGTCAGTTTATACAGGGTGGTATGGTCAGTTTATACAGGATGGTATGGTCAGTTTATACAGGGTGGTATGGTCAGTTTATACAGAGTGGTATGGTCAGTTTATACAGGATGGTATGGTCAGATTATACAGAGTGGTATGGTCAGTTTATACAGAGTGGTATGGTCAGTTTATACAGAGTGGTATGGTCAGTTTATACAGGAGTGGTATGGTCAGTTTATACAGAGTGGTATGGTCAGTTTATACA